ACACTCCCGACCAAAGCTGAATCCATATGCTGAACATTATTTGGTGCAAAGTGGCCCATCGTTACAGATGTCCTCACAAAAGCTCTTACGTCAGATTGTCAGTGGAAGTGAAGGATAATTTGAGGGGAAAAACACAGTAAAGTATTTGTACTGAAATCATTTGTGTTCTTTATTATCAATATTATATGTTCACAATGAATTAAAAATGATATAATTTCTTATATTATATAATTTATTTATTATTATTTTTTATTTGAAAAATCAGCCTAAACAAGGTAATGTAGTATTTTTAATAATAATATTTTTGTATTATTTATAGTATTTTTTTTATAGTATTTAATATTTTATAGTATTTATTTATATTTTGAGTTAGCTTTTTATTTTTGTCATTTTTTCATTTTAATCTTAGTTTACATTTTAGTAATTTTATGTGCTTTTGTCATTTTTATTCTTTTTTTTTTTATAAATATTTATATTTAGCTTTAATATATTTAAGTTTTAAAAATAATTTTAGTACTGCAGGTTTACCGAAGTTACCGAAGTTATTTGCCAAGGCAACAACTTTATTTTTAAGTTTAAGTTTTTCATCCAATATTTTCACTTTATTCACTTTATTTTGAAATGAATAACAATTTTGTTCTAAAGTTATAGTTTTAGTTAACGTTAACAACACTGGCACAAGACTGTAGTGCAATCTGACTTTTGTCAAAAGGGTTTTGTGTAGGTCTATTACCAGTGGTTAGTGCTTGTGGTGCTCATGTGGGAGATGTGGGTTTGAATCTAAAAAGCAACAACACCAAGGAGTGCATGACATAAAATGCATACATTGAATGCAGTGCAAGTCACTTTGGGAAAAAAAGTGTCTGCCAAATGCATAAATGTAAATTTCCGTATTAGCACCCTATATTCAGCACCCTATATTACTACTATTTCCAGTTAGCACCCTATATTCAGAATCAATAAAATGGCAAAAACATTCTTTCATATCATCTACTGTGAGCAAGAATTCACAATGTAAGGGGAAATTATTTGCATTCTTGATCATTTTTCATCACCTAAGGCAACAAATGAATCCCTCTGAAATAACAAAAAAAAAAAAAAAAAAACATAAGATGCCTGTGATCATACTGGTCTACTTTGGGACAAACAGGAAAACTTACTGAAATATGGTTCTGTTTAAATTGAAATGAAATGCTGTCTCAGTGTGCAGTGCATTATCAGACAGAGGTCTTCATAATGAACGGTTAAGGCACAAGCTCCATTATGCTTCAGTATTGCACCTGAAACTGTCAGCGGTAACGTGAACCTTCAGGATCCTGTCTGAATGTTGGAACAGTTCGTCAGACACTTCTTTGAGCTTTTATTTTCGCAATCGCAGCCACACAAGCTCCCAGCATCCCCTAGTGAATATGTACAGGGATTGCCTTTCTTACTCTTTCTGTGCCTGACGGTTGCTTTTGTCTCAGCCACACTCTCTTACTTTCTTTGTGCCTGTCTTTGACTGTTCCTTACTAATGTGGTTTTATTGTAGCTGTTTCTTGTGGTTCTCAATAAAGTATTGTTAAAAAGTGCGGTGTCTTTTCCCTTGGGTCCAGGTATCACATAACAGCAACAACAAATGGATCAATTCACCAAACAATAACAGAAATCTTAAGCACACAACCTCAAGTGTTGTCATGAATATAATATTTTCAGAGGTTTAGGGACAGAAATAAAGGATAGAAAAGAAACGTTTCTTTTTGTAGTGCTGGAAAGATAGACAAATTGAAGAAAGTAGAACACAAAATCCTTGCTGTTTTGTTTTAGCACACTTGACGTTCTATATATAGGATGCAATAAAAATTCACTTTCTCCTTTTTCTGTCTGTTTCTCTCTGTCTCTCTCAGGGTGATGATGTTATGACAGTTATCAAAACCAAAGCCCAGTGGCCCGCCTGGCAGCCTCTTAATGTGTAAGTTTCCATCACTTTTGTACTTTTACATAGGGCTGTGCAAAAAATCTAATGCAATTTTCATGCACATCTCGTCAGTAAAGCCGCTTCTGTGATTAGTAGTAAATCTCCAGCACGTGCGTTCAGATGGAGCGGCATTTACTACACAGAGCCATAGTTCACTGACGAGCTACACAAAATCGTGGTCAAAATCGGCAAAGAATCGCCTGCGATTTTGAACGCGATTTTGTGTAGCTTGTCAGTGATCTACGGCTCTGTGTAGTAAATGCTGCTCCATCTGAACGCAATTGCTGGAGATTTACTACTAATCACAGGAGCGGCTTTACTGACGAGATGCGCATGAAAATCGCATTCGATTTTTTTGCACAGCCCTACTTTTACATTTAGACAACAGCCTCAAAAAGTGTTTTGACACTTTAGCCACACTCAAAAATAAATGAATGAATGTCATTGCATTAGCCTACATGACAAAATATCACACCAAGTGTGACTTAAAGTGTCCAAATTTAATGGAGGACACTGTATATTTGAAATATGTCATCGAAGAACCAAAGAATCTCCATATCCAAAAGGTCCTTAATGGTGTCATATATATGAAACTAGGGATGCATGATATTATCGGAACGTTATCGGAATCGGCCGATTTGAAAAAGTTTATGCCGATATGCCTAGCCAATAAGACGAATAACTCACGTGTGATAGTGATGAGATCACGTCAGCAGTGTGGTCATTTCTGAAACAAACTTTTGCCTGAATGATGCAGCAGCAACAACAGCTGCCCCCGGGTCCTAATGCCCGTTCAGTAAGGCCTTTTATTTATCTAGGGGGCGCTGTAGGCCTACTTGTAATAAAATGAAAAGTAAAATACACAAATAACATTAAGATACTTGTTTTCTGTACAAGTAAAGCAGTAATTGATGCCATAAAATCACAAGTCTGTTTTGATTTAAAGGTGCTTTCACACTTGGTTTGATTGCCTGGTCCAAACCCGAGTTCGACTGCTCCCCCTCCCCCTGCTGGACTGCGTTCATATTATTTTATTTGGGTCTGAACCGCGGTTCATTTGCGTCATCAAGCCAGCAGCTGTTTACCCCATTGCTTAGTAACGATGGCACAGGAGAAGGCGGCAAAATGCGTAGCATTGCTCTCTTCACTTTTATATTCATGTTTTTGAACTGTTGGTTTTTGTTGAATGATCATGTGACACTGAAGACTGGAGTAATGATGCTGAAAATTACATTTTAAAATATATGTAAAATATAAAATATATATTTATATATATTTAAAGATATATTTAAAGTTTTATGCCTTTATTTAGATAGGACAGTAGGTGGACAGTCAAGTGAAGTGGGAGAGAGGGGGATGGGATCAGTAAAGGTCCACGAGCCAGGACTTGAACTCACAAGGCCATTGGCGCCAAACAAAATATCTAATTTTAAAATATTACAGTTTTTACTGTATTTTTTTTTTTTTTCAAATAAATGCAGCCTATCAAAAAAATAAAAATAAAATTGTACCGACCCAGAAAGTCTTGCTTTCTCCTGGATGAATATTTTTTCAGTGGAAAAGAACAAGGCCTGATTCATGAAAACCCCTTTCTGCACCTGCTGGGTATGTAGATGTTTCTTCCCGCTCACTAACGAGGCGGTTAATATTTTATGTGTGGTTTTGTTTAGCGAAGACTTCCGTTTTTTGATGAGAGTAGCATTTCCCCTGCGGTGCTTTTGAGATTGAGGTTAATGGCCTCCCTCCAGCTCCAATACATCAGGACATTCTCTTGACCTATTTTAACGTCAGACTGTCGATTACCACAGCCAATTTACCCCATGAAGAGGGAATGGCAATGGCAGACGGTAATTATTTCTAACCATAAGTCAAACATACAAGGTACTTTCCACCAATAGGGCACACTGTAGTATCCCACACTGTACTTTTTTTTTTTAAAGCATTAGAGCCATAAATTGCCATTTTTTTGTGGTGAAACTTATTAGATATTAGAAACTATTGTCTAACATAAAATTAGGCTAGCAAAGTAGTTTGTATAGGCATTTTGGTCTTTCCTTCCTCAGTTTCTTTATCTTCTTGACTGTATCCAACACTATTTTTAACTTATTTTATTTACCAAAAATTATTTTATTTTATTAAAACCTTTAGTTTATTTTATTTTAAAAATTATGTTATTTTGTTTCGTTTTTTATTTTATTTATTCATTTATTTATTATTTTAATAATTTTTTTAGCTATGCCCCACACTTTGCCTGGAATGCATGGCTCTCTCTCTTCCTCTTTCTTCTGCTCTCAAGTGTGGGCTGTGCGAGTCATAAGGCGCTGGTTTAATGATGAATATTTAATATGTGTTAATCAATAGATCCAAGTAAAATCTTCAAGCGCGCAGCCTGCTCCACTCAAATGGCAACAGTTGCTTTGGTGATGGTTTGTTATCAGGGCAATTAGTTTGATTAATTACCATCTGGATCCTTACAAATTATGCCTTAGCGCATAATACATGACACAGACTTCCTGTAAGTGGCATTATGTTTGTGTACAGTCCTTCCTCTGAAACAACAACTTTATTTTCGGATGACAACAGCTCTTCCCTTGTCTTCTCTCAGGCATTCCTCCCCCTCGGCGGAGTTCTCGGTGGATCGAGCCCGTCATCTCATGTCTTTCCTGACTATGTTGGGCCCCAGTCCGGACTGGAACGTGGGATTGTCTGGGGAGGACCTGTGCACCAGGGATTGTGGCTGGGTCCAGAGACTGGTGAAGGATCTGGTGCCGTGGGATGCCGGTACTGACAGCGGGGTCACTTATGAGGTCAGTTTTCACAGACTGATGACATTGTTACATTAGAACAGGTGTGGCGAACGTCGGTCCTGGAGAGCCGCAGCCCTGCAGAGTTTTGCTTCAACCCTAATCAAACACACCTGAACAAGCTAATCAAGGTCTGAAGGGTTATTAGGAAGCTACAGGCAGGTGAGTTTTAATTAGGGTTGGAGCTGAACTGTGCAGGGCTGCAGCTCTCCAGGACTGGAGTTCGCCATCCCTGCATTAGAACATACTGTGAGAACTTTCAGAATGGAGTCCATATACTGTAGGGTAGCGTGAGGCAATGTGGGTCATTGTGCATGCACTGAAGCTAGGTTTTCATAACTCTTCTCTTCTACTGTATGTTAATCTGAGATCTGGTATTGTACCAACTGTAAACAGTATGACAAGACATCAAGTCAATTGCTTGGTTTTTCTTATTTACATTGAATTTTTGTTATAATTTGTGCAATGAATAGATGATTTTTCCTAAATATTTGATCGTGTTTAACATCATATTTTTAGTAAACATGTTAATGCATTCAGTTCCAAGAAGATAAGATAATAGATTTCACAAATTGTGCAGATAATTAAAATGATTTTAAAATTTACACTCACAACATTCATGTATGCAACTGCACTCCGGCCTTACTTTCAGAAAAAAAACAAGATTTTGCAAAATTCATGCAAACACAGACCTCAGTGCAAATGACCAATAATTAAATAATTAAATAAAAAATAATAATCAATATTCAACTGCTTATTATTATTATTAAAAAAAAATAACTAAAAAATATGATAAAAAACTATAATACAACAACAATAATAATATTCAATATTCAGCCTTTCAATAATAACAGTAATAATAAAACTGTTATTAAATAAAAATACATTAAAATGCTGGTAATGGTTATTATTATTATTATTATTAAATATAATAATATTACATATTTAAAAAAAATAATCCACACTTTATGGACTTACATGTATAAATGTTTAACTTGTGGGTGATATTTCACTTGTTGAGATTTATTGATTTAATTACTATACAACTAAACAAAGATACATGGATTTGATTTATAAATAAATACTCATAATGGGTGTCTTTATTATTTATCTTTAAACAGGAGCTCGGATGGAGACATTTTTGTATGCACTCTGAATAGTTCTAATCAGCAAGTTTCTGATCAGTTTTTCAGAAATCACTCAGAACAGAATGGAAGTTATAATGTCAAATTAAACAAAAGCTTTAATGGCATTGAAACCCATTAAATTTGACAATCTTAATTACAAGGTAATGCAATAATATTTTGTTTTGCCCTGAAGGTTTGATGTGGAAATTAAATTGCTATATAAACAAAGCAAAAACTACTTTCAATTCATAGTGCTTCCACATTGTCTCATATTTTAATGTTACTTAAAATCGCTTATGAATATACAAAATCCAAGTGTGCACTAGATAAATAAATACAGAGAGGAAAAACAAGTGCAAATAAACCAGTTTCCTCACTGTGTCCTCTGTTGCTTCTAGTGTCAAAAAAATCTTCATATTTACTCAAGAGCTGTTCAGAGCAAACAGTATTAAGACTTTGCACATCCCAAATGCTAAGTGGAACCAGGACTTCACACGCTGCCCCCTGCTGGTACGAGACAGTCCTGAGTTGTTCCTTGAAAGAAATAAGTTAGCTTCAGAAGTTACGCTCAGCTTAACCGAGCAGTTGGAGCAGCAGTTGGTCTTTGTTTTGCAGCGTTGCTCTGAAAGCATTGTGGTGGGATGCAAGTAACTGTCAGGTGACTCAAAGTGCAGAGGCAGGAAACAAGGCCATAAATCACTCATAACGGGAATATTACACAGTCAATGAATGATGCATATGGAGATGAAAGGTGGGAGGCCCTGGCAGATGGCATCCAAAAGTCACATACTCTACCTCACACCAGATGTTTCGTCTCTTGTCTCACAGCTGGGAAGAATCTCATCTCTAAGCTTTTACAATCATCTGCCCTCAGAGAGTAATTTTTTTGTGTGCGGGGCTTAGCGTGATAGTGATCAGATGGCAAATGGTGGATCTTATCAGGCGCTGTGATGTTGATCCATGTTCTTCCAATCTGCAGGGAGAGCAGTGCAATACCGTGCCCGACACCATAGACGATATCGTTGCTGATATTGCTCAGGAGGAGAAGGAGGAAGGTGCGTATGGCTACGCTATCTTATCCAATTTGTAGCACCTCATTTAAAAACATAGCCACCGGACAGTTTAATGAACAAGGCGGCCAGCAGGTATCTTAGAGTACACCTCTGTCCCTTCTGTCACGGTAAAGTCAAACAACAGAAAGATGAAGAAGAACAATATGCTTTACCATGGTGCACTTCAGTTATGTTTGTTGGCTAATGCACTCTGCCAGATAATTACCTGTGGTTTCCCTCCAGTTTCTTGTGAGTTTCAGGAGTGGAAAGACAAGGACTGGAATGAACAAAAGCTTTGCTACTTTTAAAGCTAAAGAGTGTCATTTCTATGCTACTAGCAGCTATTAGTCCTGCTCCGAACTCAAATGATGTTGCTGTCAGGCTGGTCAGGGAATGTTTTGATAGCACCAGCAAGCCACAGAAAGGAATAAAAACAAGGACAGAAAGATAGAAAGACACAAAGAAAAGTCAATGTTTATGGTGTGCCTATTAAAATGTACTCACCTTCAGGCCATCCAAGATGTAGATGAGTTTGTTTCTTCATCAGAACAGATTCATTCTGATGGCACCCATTCACTGCAAATGATCCATTGGTGAGTAAGTGATGTAATTTCTAATTTTCTGATTCTGTTCTGTTCAACTCATCAACATCTTGACTGGCCTGATGGTGAGTACATTTTCAGCAAATTCTCATTTTTGGGAGAAGTATTCCTCTAAGAAAAGGTTTAAAAGTGCTACTGCTTTCCATGAACCGTGCAATGTCCTCTAATGGTCAATCCACTCACTCATTTCCACAGCAGACAACACTCCAGAGACGTGCATCTATTCAAACTGGTCTCCGTGGTCAGCCTGTAGCTCCTCCACCTGTGATAAGGGTCGACGGATGAGGCAGAGGATGCTAAAAGCGCAGCTGGACCCCAGCATGCCCTGCCTGCATACCCAAGACTTTAAGCCCTGCATGGGGCCGGGCTGCAGCGAGGAAGGTGAGCTAGATAACGCTGGTCTCCAGCTCTCCAGCACATATAAAACCCTTTGAGGCTGACGGATTTAGGGATCACTATCTCAGAGCATGCCAGGAAGGAAGGTGCATAGAATAAGGGAAAGAAAAAAAAAATGGAGGAAGAAGGAATAAAAATGTTGTGCAGAAAAGCGTGCATGAAATGCTGAGTGGAGCAGGTAATTAATTGATAGTCTTGTTAGTGCGAGTAATGTAGAGAAATGCAAGGTCTCTGTTTTCAAGGTTTCAAAAACCTTATCCGACCTCAAACTGCTCCTGTGGAGTTTTATGCCTGCAATCTGCTCGAGCAGACCAAGGTATTGATTCCCTCGTTGGAGAGGTAGACGCTATAAACCATAACCATAAACTATATATTGTGGTTTATCGTTTAAAAGAATCAATAAGACATTTGCACTTTGGTTGGCTGGCCATTTGGGTCAGAGTGTAAAATCTTGGTAAGTTAAACTGCAAATAATGTTTTCTCTTTTGAATTTTTGGCTTTTGAATTTTTGAATTTTTGAAATTTGAAATGCTCTAAATTTTCTAAATATTCCAGTGTTTTCAGTATAATATACTATTGAATAAAAAAAAATTATTTTACAATATTTTAAAATATTCTAAATATTATTTTTTTGATAGTATGTGAAATATTATTGTATAAAAATATTGTATATTATAAAATATTTTAATTTAAGGTTATATGAAAAATTTTCTAAATATTCAAAATATTCCAATGTGTTTGGTATAATATGATATACTATTGTATAAAATATTGTAATTTTAGAATATTTTTAAATATTCTAAATATTCTACTTTTTAAAGTATATGAAATAGTATATGCTGTATAAAATACTATAAAATACATTATACTGTACAATATAATGTACTATTATATAAAAACAATTGTAGTTCTAGAATAATTTAAATCATTTCATTTTCTAATTTAACAGTAGCAGTAATGTTACAGTAATATGTAGAAATAACATAATGTGGACAAAAAATATTAATAAAAATGATCAACTAAAATGGACCAAAAGTCTGAGTCCACTTTGAAGTACAATGTGAAGAACTGGATTGCTTTTTAGCGCATTCAATTTGGGTCAACTAAAAAAGGTCTGAATTGTATACTTTTAAAGTGAAGAAGCATGAATACCCTTAAAGAGTAACTTTTTATATTAGCAGCACTTTTTGTTGTGCAAAACATCATTTAACTAGGAGACAACAGGCATGACTTGCTAGTTTGTATTTTTTGCTGTTTTAGTTTGAATTTGTCTTTTTCTTTTCATCTTGATACCAAAGCAACAAATATGTGAGATGTTCTAACATATTGCAGTTCAGATCTCAATATCAATAAGCAAAAATAATCACTATAAGATTCTTAGACCGAATTGTACAGCGTCTGTGACATTTTCTGTCTGTCTACTAGTCTTTCTCTCCACCTGGCGACTAGTGACATTTTCTCTTTTTTTCCCTCTGTCTGTCAGCATATCTGCATCGACCCATCCATCTGCCTCATCTGTACCTCTCCATCCTCTAATCCGTCTGTTTTTCCACATCACGTCTTCATTCTGTCTGCTCTGATGTGAGGCTTTTAAAGATGTTGAAGGCGGTTGTTTCTCACCAGCACTCGCTATTGATTAATAGAACCTGCATCGCTTCGCGTAGACTCTCTTTTGTTTTTAATTGATGGGCCGTTAAGGGCCTGCATTGATTGATAATCCACCATCCCATTGACAGGCCGACACTGGGGCCTCTGGGGGCCCCATCAGGGCCACGTTTATTTACAGCTCTTATTAATGATTCACTTAGATTTGCTTTATTAGGTAGTGCTTGCTGCTGGTCCCAAATGGGGTCTGCAGTTCTACACTGGAGGCAAATCTATGGAGAGTCGTCCCAAATTCATCCATCCCGTCTGATAACAAATCTATTTACAAGCTCTGCCTTAGAGATAATTGGAACGGCTGAGGTGAGATAAAGCATGACTGGATCGGTCAATTTGATCACATCTGTCAGCACTTTATAAGGGGAGAAAGGTGGAAGATATGAAAGATGAACTGTAGAGCTGTAATCTTACAGTCTGTCATACATAAAGAAAGAGGATTATATGAGCAGGTGACTGCATTGAATTGCTGTATATGGCGAAGAGGGAATATTTTACATATATCTTACAAGATGGAATAACTTACATTTTATTGTAATTTAATAAAAATAATCACAGTAAACAAATTTTGTGGCAAGTGATATAGTTTTTTATTATTATTAATAAATTGTATGCATTAAATATTACTTTTGATGTTAAACAATGTTGTTGAAGTTATTGTTATTATTATTATTATGAGATGCTCTTAAAACAGTACTGAACTTTGCATGTATACTGGACATCTGTTTGCTCATACATTTAAAAACAATTAAACTACAAATACATTTTTGTAAAATAATTAAATAAATAACTCAGATTTCAAGAATTTAAGCATAAATCTTTGGATCAAGCTTTTTATGAGAAATATAAATGTGGTCAAATGTATCTATTCACTCATCACCAGATCTCAGAGTGAACTTTTAGGAAAGATTTGGGACATACAGTACCTCATTAGCATATGACTGTTCTCTTCCCTAGAGGCGTCCACCTGTATGATGTCAGAGTGGATCAGCTGGTCTCCGTGCAGCGCCTCGTGTGGAATGGGCATGAGGTCCAGAGAGAGATATGTCAAGCAGTTCCCAGAGGACGGCTCCAGCTGCACGCTGCCAACCGAGGAGACAGAGAAGTGTGTGGTCAATGAGGACTGTTGTAAGTTATATATATGTTGTGTTCATGCTTTGATGAACATTCAGTACAAGTATTTAGTCAAATAACTATCCTAAAGTCTACACAAGTAATGTTAGAGACATGTTTATGTGTGTTTCAGCACCCAGTAGCTGTGTGGTGACCGAGTGGGCTGAGTGGGAGCCCTGCAGCGTGAGCTGTGGAGTGGGGATGAGGAGGAGAGAGCGCATGATGAAGATGGAGGCCTCAGATGGCTCGCCCTGTCGAGCGCAGCTGGTGGAGGCAGAGAAGTGTATGATGCATGAGTGCAGTAAGTATGAAGCCACGAAATGTCAATTCAGTCAACTCAATCCAACACCCTCTCATGGGCCAGGCAAGATGCCCTGCTTCACCAGGCTTGATTCATTACCAGAATTCCTTTGCTGCTAGTCGATTTCTAATTAGACCTGCTTGTCACTTGCCCCGGGTAGGGCTGGACCAGCCGTTCATTAGGTCTTATTTAAATATATTAAAAAAAGTTCACGCTTGGGATTTTGTAGATAGTCATTGCTAAATCGGTACTTAATTTGGCTCCATCATTTTTTTTTTAAGACAAGACATACAGAAGCAGGTCATAAAGGCTCTGTAAAATAATGTGTAGTCACATAATATGACCTTTATTTATCTGCTAAACAGCTGTCAAATTTGTAAACAGAAGTAGTATTTAAACGCTGTCCATTTCAGTTTTAATGAGTAACATGCTTCTGATTGAACCATTGAAATATGATACATAATCACAAAATATAAGAAATAGTACATTTAAATATGTAAATATTCAGGAACTGCTTCTAAATTGGGGCAATAAATAAATACCAATACAACATTTATAACACACATTTATGTTCTATTACCAATACAACATTTGTTTGTTTGGTTGTTTATTTATATTATTTATATTTTTCTATTTTTATTTTATTTTTCATAGCAAAATTTTGTTTATTTTAATACAATCTGCACATTAAATATTACATTTGATGTTAATTATAATGTTGTCTAATTTAACAACAACAACAGCATCAATAATAATAATAATAATAATGAGAGATTCGTTTTTAAATAATTTAAATATGATTGATCTACAGTGGATGAGAAAGTATGCATCATGGCAGTTCTGGTCCGAATTCTATTTGTTTTATAACATTAATATTTTAAATATAATTTATTTGAATGGCTATGCAGTATAAATCTGAAACATATGCTGTAAAATATACTTAATATACTTTTAATTGTTTTATAAACATACACCATATTTTTTATCACACTTAAAAAATATTTATTTTAAGGTCCAATTCTCACTATTAACTAACTATTAACTATGACTTTTGCCTCAGAATACTCCTAATTTGCTGCTTATTAGCAGTTAGTAATGTAGTTGTTAATTAAGGGATGCGGTTGGATTAAGGCATCTAAAATACGGAATGGTCATGCAGAATAAGACATTAATATGTGCTTTATAAGCACTAATAAACAGCCAATATGCTAGTAATATGTATGCTAGTTAACAGTGAGAATAGGTCCTTAAAATAAAGAGTTACCTTTTTTAAGCTTGCAAATTTATATTTAATATTGAATTGGGTAACACTTTATTTTAGGGTCTCTTAACTAGTTGCTTATTAGCATGCATATTACTAGAATATTAGCCATTTATTAGTACTAATTAAGCAAATTTTAATGCCTTATTCTACATGACCTTATTCTACAATCCTAATCCTACCCAATACCTAAACTTAATAACTACCTTACTAACTATTAATAAGCAGCAAATTAGGAATTACTGAGAGAAAAGTCGTAGTTAATAGAGAATAAGTGTTCCCTATTCTAAAGTGTTACCTTGAATTCCTTCCTATATTTATGCTTGCAAATCTTTAAGAGTTCATGCATAACCGTTAATTTTTGTTTAGTGTGCTTCATCAAATGACTAGTACTTTCATAAAATAAAATAAAAACTAGTATGCACTAGATTATGTGGATTGCAAGTATATGCCATATAAATCTAAAGCAGATTGCAAATGTAGTATGCACTAGATACTGTGCACCTCTAATTTAGCATGCCTTGGGTGTATGAACAGTAGTAACTGTTCATAACTTGTGTACTCATGTGTGTAGACGAGGTGGTGTGTATGCTGTCTCCGTGGTCAGACTGGGGAGAGTGCAGTGTGTCTTGCGGTGCGGGCATGCGTTCCCGTCAGCGCATGCTGAAGACGCCTGTAGAGCCCAGCCTGTGTTCAGATGAACTCGAGCAGGTTGAAAAGTGCATGCTTCCTGAATGCCGTGAGTAACACACACACACACACACCTTTATTTATACCAAAGACTTTGTGTTTTCATGTAAAGCTAATTATAGATACTACAGACTAACCCTAATGCGATTTACCAATTGAAGATGTCCATAAAGGGAGGTTTTGTGATATTTAGTTCACAAAATTGTCCTCAAATTGTAGTATATGTACAGAAACAAACAAATGGATGAAATGCTCCCTTTTTAATTCCTCCTCCAGCCACGGACTGCATGCTGTCGGAGTGGTCGGAATGGTCCGAGTGTAATAAGTCTTGTGGGAAGGGTCACATGATCCGGTCACGGATGGTCAAGCTAGAGCCTCAGTTTGGAGGCATGCCCTGTCCCGAGACGGTCCAGAGGAAGAAATGCAAGATCCGCAAGTGCATGAGAGGTTCCCGTGCCAGCGACAAGAAGAAGAGACAGGAAGCTTCAGACAGGAGGAGAGCAAAACCGAGCAGGGAGTCTGTGGCAGAGGAGAGCTCAGGTCCAGAATTATTTAGTATTTACTTATTGCATGTTTAGCTCTCTGTCAACCGATCATTCCTGGAAGCAGGATTTATGTTAATTGCTCATGGTTTGTGCAGTTGAATTTGACTTGAATTTGAATTTGATTTATCTGAGACAGTTATTCTGAATAAGTCTTTGCAATCTTTCATCAGTATGTAATAACTTTTCAAACTTTTCTTGGCTGATTTCACCTTGGTACAGAGCTCCTAAAGGGACATGGTGATGGAAAATAATATGCAATGGGACAGAAAAAACATTGTTCACTCACAACCTTTTGCATTGTCTCGTGAAAATATTCTCCTAAGAATATGTTGCATTCTCATGTAAAACCTGTGTTCTCGCGAGAGACTTCTGCACAGTGCTTCACTCTTGTACATAATTACTTGAGTAAGCTGTATAATGCTCATAACTCATGGCATCTACACTACTGTTCAAAAGTTTGGGGTCAGTACGATTTTTAAACGTTTTTGAAAGATTACTCTTATGCACACCAAGACCAAGTAAAAACCGTAGTTTAGGGAAATATTATTACAATTTAAAATAACTTTTCTATTTGAATATCTTTTACAATTATATTTATTCCTGTGATCAAGAAGCTGAATTTTCAGCATCGTTACCCCAGTCTTCAGTGTCACGTGATCCTTCAGAAATCATTTTAATATACTGATTTGCTGTTCAAGAGACATTTCTTATTATCAATGTTGAAGTCGTGTTGCTTAATATTTTTGTGGAAACAATTTTTTCAGGATTCTTTGATGAATAGAAAGTTCAAAAGAACATTTATTTTAAATAGAAATATTTTGCAACATTATAAATGTCTTTACTGTCACTTTTGATCAATATAATGTATCCTTGCAGAATAAAAATATTAATTTCTTTAAAATCTTTCAATCTTACTGACCCTAAGTTTTGAGTGATATTAGAACAGCATCCCAAATCAATCACTAATAAGTTACCATGAGAATTAAGATGCAAAAGAGGCAAAAATCTCTTTATAAGCAACAAGGCAGCTTACTGTTTTGGAACAGAGCCAATATTTTTGTTATTGATCAAATTGCTCTCCTAAGCTCCCTGTAAATCTTCTGTATTGCTCATGTGAATCGATCAGTACATCCAATCTTTTAAAGCTCTGCCACTCTCTGTGAGCCGAAGCATTTCTTACACACACACAAACACATTGTCAGCGTATGATGAAGTGATTCAGTACGGCTACAGATGGTGATGTAGAGGATGTCCCAGGCTCATTGTACTGGGGAAGTCTCTGTGGTCTTGCCGCTTATTCCTAACATGCATGAACACACGCGCTCATACATCACCTTTAACTGTGCTGTCCCCATCAGCTGCGGAGGACACTGGTGATATTCATTCTTGACACTTTACCATGGTCACCACCAGCACGCTTCAGAAACCCTTCACCTTCCCCAGCTCCACCTAAATAAATCTGCTATGGGGTAATTTCATGTATGTTATACATGGGGGTTATTTCATAAATGTTATATGTGCAGCAGCAGTATTTCCTACATGCTCACTACAGCGTGTCTGTGGATGTATTGGCAGTAGCAAGTCTCAGTACTTGCTCTGCCACTGCAGCAGCAGCGTAGCAGATCTATTCCACCAAGACCATTACCACCAAGATATTACCATGCTAAACTCTCCAAGAGTTGTCATGACAGAAATTTGTTGGTGAACTATTCCTTTAAAGGGCCAAATTCCCCCTTACACAAAACCCCCCTTGATTTTCTTTTAATCTCTTCCAACAGCCTGTCCGATACGCCCGTGGTCCAGCTGGACGGAGTGTACCAAGCCGTGCAGCGGGGGGATCCAAGAGCGTGTGATGGAAGTAAAGAGGAAAGGCAAATCTTCACAGCCCAACCACTGCAAAAACAAGAAGGAGATCCGCGCGTGCAACGTGCACCCGTGCTAAAAGTGACTCTCTATCACTGTAATACAATCACACACCCACCAAAACACACTGACTCAGCCCTTAAAGAGGATGATTACGGCAGAAACAGCGTAGTTTTAACCCAAGGTTTCCGGAAGCGGGACCGGCGAGGGGTGTGTGTGTTCCAGCTTGTAGGGTTTTAGAGTAACACACACGTGGACCAGGCCTGTTATCCGTGATTAGTTTTAGATGCCTTCTTAGCGGGCGTATATACTGTATCAATGTATAACCAACACTTTTCAGTACCAACTTCACTAAAACATCAGTGTGCACTTCTTTTTTAACAATAATTACATCTTCTTTTTATTTGTTATGCACAACCACCTCCTTTTTGGATAAAGGTCGGCAGTCAAAACAGATACTTAGCATTTCCTGTAAACAAAACCGATGCAATCATATAGTGGGTTGTGAAGGAAAACAGGGCATGATGTGGGATTCGCAAACAGTTTCTAATCCGAGGCTGCCTCTATTGAGTGATATCAAGGTGGGTCACCCACAATCAATGACCAGTTAATTCAGACAGTAAGTGTTTGGTGAGGACAGAGGATTTTTTGTTCCTCGACTGTGAAATTGTCAGAAAATCTAGCTGAATACAGGCTTAGGGTAATGCATTGGACAGCCTATGGATAGTTTAACATTGTATATCTGAACTAAAAAGCACAGGTAAGCATAACCATTCAACCTTTTTCTTGGTTTTATTTTATAAATCGTGATATATTAACTTCGAGTTGAACATAGATTGTGACTTTTTATTGCATTATTAGATGTATAAGAGGCTAATGTTAAATATTAACTCATCTGTAGGGAAAGAAAGAAGAAAGTTTCTTACTTTTATTGTGGAATTTTGATATATTTAGCTTCAAAAAGTCTTGCCAAAGTCAAGTGTGGATTTTCTTCTTTTTCTCTGTTGTTCTCTCTACCTTCTTTTTTTTCTTTTCACTCATCTTCTGCAATATTTTGGAATAATTCTTTACAATAAAAATGTATGTGACTACATGTTTTGGATTGCTTATTGCCTCACACACACACACACACACACACATATATTCTTTTAAACAGTATTGCCTTATATTCTTTCCTGATCTAGGACAGTATCTCTGTATAACCACTAGGGGGAGACAGAGACTAAAGTTATGTCGTAAATTCGTCACCAAGTGGCATAACAATTCAATTGCTCGACAAACGTGGCAGCAGGATGAAAGCTTAAAGGAATAGGTCAGCCAAAAATTCTGTCATTCACATTCATTTTTTTCTTTCTTCATATATGACAATGAATGGCGACTGAATCTGCCATAGCATCTTTTTTTGTGTTCTATAGACGACAGAACGTCATGTGGATTTGGAATGTCAAATATATTTCAGTGTATACATATTTTTTTCTTTGTATATTTTCTCTTAGCTTAGGTTTTTAAGAAATAACTGATTATGTGTTTTTAATTGGTTTAGATTTGGTTTTAGCAATGGATAGCTGCCAAAAATGGTCTTATAGCTCTATGAGGCAAGGATGTGTCATATTTAGTGTTTGTTTTTCCTTAGCTTATTACACTTTGGTAAAATCACAAGCGTCGAGCTGAAGTGCTGCGCTGTTACACGGCAGTGGTGTACATTTATTTAGGTTTGAACTTTACACCCGGCACCTTTTAAACCTTTTATGAAACTCCTACGGTGATTTAGCTTGAGAAGTGTGCGGTAAACGGCCCAGAGGCTTTATACTTTAACACGGGAGATTTTCCTCTCTTCCTAAACATGATGGGAGCAATTTATTGTTAGAACGCATCATGTAGTACTGAAATTAAAGGGGTCATATGATGTTGCTAAAAAGAACATTATTTTGTGTAGCCTATTTGGTGTAATGAAATGTGTTTATGCGGTTTAAGGTTAAAAAAAACACATTATTTTCCACATACTGTACATTATTGTTTCTTCTCTATGCCGCCGCCTTTTTGAAACGCGTCGATTTTTACAAAGCTCATCGTTCTGAAAAGCGAGGTGTGCTGTGATTGGCCAGCTATCCAGTGCGTTGTGATTGGCCGAATACCTCAAGCGTGTGACGGAAATTTTACGCCCCTACCATACTGTGATGTCCTGTCCGGCCGGAGCGACGAGACATAAACATTAAAACCCATTATAAACGAGGCATTCGTTGCATCCATTGGGGACATAATTATGGATTATAATGACTTGTACTGTGTTTTTACGCGTTGCGTTGCATCGCGCCGCGTAAACATAAAACCTTGTCTGCATTTGTGATCGGAGAAATGATAAACAACAAGCACTACTCTGCACTGCTCGCTTTTGAATCGTCAGTGGCAAATTCTTTATATATAAAAAACGTACTTACAGTCTGTGATTCAGAACAGCCGGCATTGTAGTCTACTCTACCAGGATCAGGAAACAGTCCTCCATAAAATGTGCTGCACACATCTGAATATTTGGGTTGAAGTGTTCTGGAACAGTGTTGTAAATACAACTTAACCACTGATTTCTAGTCGTGTCCTCTTTTGGAAGGCCAAACAAAGTAGTTTCGCTTTCACAATGAAACACAGTGTCACACACGGCAGGCTAGAGTGAGCGGCGGCGGCTAGAGTGAGTGGAAGCCGGCGGCTAGAGTGAGGAACGGCCGGCGGGCTGAGTGAGCGGAGGCCGGCGTGCTGAGTGAGTGACGGCCGGTGGGCTTGAGAACGGCGCGGCCGGCGGATTTGACGAAGGAGCAGCCAGAAGGCTTGCAGCAAACACCTTACAGATTTTCTTTATGCACCAAGAGCTTGTAACACTTCAAAGAGAAAGGAAAAATTTAAATCGCATCATATGACCCCTTTAATTAAACTGGGCCAAACACAGCAGCTTGGTAGTCATGGTAACACTTGCTGAAGCCTTAATATTTCTCACACATGAAACGACCGGGCAGTGGATTTAAGACTCCTACTATGAGGAAAGTTTGGCTTATGAATATTAATGAGACGTGACGTTTCACAGGTGGCCTGCTTCAATCTACTCAAAAATTAAAGTGGTCAGTTTATCAATAAAACCAGAACGCCATAATATATGGGACAAAAACAGCAGTTTCAACTAAAATGTTATTTATATGTATTTTTAAGTATTATAATAGATATACATAGTATATTGTAATAATAAACTAAATAATGTTTTATATATTATAAAAAGAAGTAAAATGCCACACAAGCATCTGCAAGGGAATGCTCTGGTTACTAACGTAACCTCGGTTCCCTGAGATAAGGGAACAAGTGTTGCGTCGCTGACACTCCTTATTAAAATGAACCATAGCTTTACCACAAATAAAACCAAAAAACCATGGTTACTATAGTTAAACCATGGTAACCACAAATTTGCCATGGTTTTGCTACACTAACCATAGTTTAACCATGGTATTTGTAGTACTGTGGTTATACAAATGGTAATCAATACGCCAAAAAACCTTGGTTAGTACACTTTTACTACAATAAAACCATGGTTAATTTCCGTAAGGGATGGGGAAACTGCTGTTTACTCTGCTACTGAAGCCTGATTTGTTCACATTCGTGTAGCTGCATGAACCAAAAGGGGTGGAGCCAACCGCTATATAAGTTGGCTCTGAGTGCCATTTGTCAGAATATTTCGTCTGATGTAACAGTCATCGATTCGCATGCAGCCTTATAGCACGGCAGCCTACGCAACGCTTGTTCCCTTATCTCAGGGAACCAAGGTTATGTTAGTAAATGGAGCATTCCCTTTCGAATGGTCTCTCCTGTTGCATCGCTGATGCTTATGGAGAACATGTCCAGTAGTGCTGTGCTATAAGCAAGTGCAGAACAAAGAGCATACAAAGAGCTGCTTTGAGTGCCTAAATGAGCCAGAGCGCTCAACATACACTCTAAGAGCCTGAACCGGGCAGAGTGGATTAGGACCCTGCTCACCTTCTGAATTGGGGAGTGCTAGAAGGGTGGTGACTTGTGCTCTGACTGGAGTGGAGAGCACTTTCAGCACATCACCATATATTGGTTTGAGGACGACTCTACAGTCATTAGGCCCAAACTCAAGAAAGGAAGCACTGACTGACAGTGCTTGCAGGTCACCCACTCGCTTGCCCAATGCTAAAGCCAGAAGGAGGGTGGTCTTAAGTGACAGGCACCCCAGGTCGGCCGACTGAAGCAGCTCAAAGGGAGGGCCCCGAAGTGGACCTGAGGACTATAGACAAGTCCCAAGTCGGCACAGAATGAGGACGAGGCGGAAATCTCCGAGCTCTCCCCAGAAACATAACGACTAGGTCATTTCTGCCGATTGACATGCCAGCCACGAGAGAATGATTTGCCATGATGGCTGCCACATATACTTTGAGCGCGGAAGGGTTGTGCCCCTTATCCAGTAGCTCTTGTAGAAAAGTTAGCATGGAGGACACGATGCAAAAGGATGGGTCCTCGTTCCACGCTGCACACCAGTCAGAGAAGACATAAAATTTAAGGGCATAAAAATGTCTTGTAGATGGGGCTCTAGCCTCCAAAATGGTTGCTGCATAGACTCCCGTCAAGGGGCCAAACATGAAGGCTCCACAGCTCTGGCCAGGGATGCCAAATCATGCCCTTCGTTTGCGAGAGAAGATCCGTCCACAGTGGTATTGGCCAGGGGGCTGCTGATAGCAGATGAATCAACTCGGGGAACCACATATGATTCCTCCAGAGTGGGGCCACCAAGAGGACCGAACATCTGATTTTCCTGACCCGTCTGATGACCTGAGGAAGCAGGGCAACTGGGGGGAAGGCATACAGGCGAGCGTTGGGCCAATCGTGGGCCAGGGCATCTCGCTGTTTCGAAAAGTAAATTGGGCAGTGGAAGTTGTCTTCTGAGGCGAAGATGTCCACCTCTGACCTGCCGAAGACAGACCAGGTCATTTGAACCATTTGGAGATGTAGTCTCCATTCTCTTGGTGCCACATTGCCCCTGGACAGCATGTCTGTCCCTTGGTTCAGTCTGCCCGGCACATGAACTGCTCATAGTGAGAGGAGTTTGCATTGTGCCCATAAAAGGAGGCGTCGAGCCAACCTGTGAAGGGAGCGTGACCTGGGACCACCTTGGTGATTGATAAAGGCTACCACCGTCATGTTGTCCGAACGAACCAGGACATGGTGCCCCCTTAATGCCTGCAGGAGAGTTTTCAGGGCTAGAAAAAGTTGATGTGTAAGCATTGCTCCAGGTTTGACCAGGAGCCGAATCCCGGTCTGTCATGAATGTGAATGTGAGCATCGTTGTCCCGTACCGAAGTTTGAATGATACCTCTGAAGCAAGGTGGCCTGCGAGCGAACTGATATCGTCTCAGTGTAAACTACAAAAACCTGAATTTGTGGAAAGGTGATATCATGCACATGTGTATTACGTGTTCAGTCTATAGGAATGCATATGTGTGCAGGCACATAGTGTTTCTTTACAAAGTGACATCATCAACTACTGGCCTGGCATGCATAATACAGCATTTTTGCGGATTTGTGTAAACGGGGATTGTTTTGTCAACGTTGTCATCAACTTTTCAACAACACACAGGAATTTTTTTTTTCCATTTTTAGTACAGTTGTTGTTGTGTAAACATACCCTAAGATTCACAACTTTGGAAATACAGTAAAAGTACATCTGAACCATATTTATATATGTTGAAAGAATTATTGAAATGTATTTTGACTCTAAAGATATTTTGATGTCATGCGCTACAACGTTAGGAGAACAATGCCATACGGTGAGTCAGTTCAGGTTGCCTGAGTGTTAAATGCTGCACATTCATTACTTGGTTTTCAATGAAATTTATTTCTTTCAGA